TTAAGATCACTGTTCATCAACAGTCATGGACTCATAATGAAAAGGAGGAAAATAGTTTCCTAAATTACGGTTAGAAAAAATGCTTTACCCATGTCTGCATTTTATCACTTATTTTATTGCTGTTACTATATAGTCAATGACATGACCAATTTTAAAACTTTTATGACAACCAGATAAAGAATGATTTCAAAAATCAAAGCATCAAACTCAACACTTAAATCAAAGATCTTAAATGAATTCCATCACGACATTCTCATCATCAAAAACGACATCGCCATTGTAGCAAATGAAGAGACGGCGGAGCCAGGGGGAACAGGGGGCACAGTGTCCCCTACTTTGTCAAGTACCCCTAAAGTTCCTCTCTTTTTCTTTTTCTTTTTACAGAAAAGGTCTCCCTTTTACTTCGGATAAGTTCCCCTTTTCATTTATAATAGCTGCCTGTTCCACATGCTCATAAGTGCATTTTACCACTTTTGATAAGTACCTCTATTAAAATCTAACAGGCGCCCAGTTTACTTTAACAAGAGCCTTTTTTGTAATAAGTGCCCCTTCCCCTTTTGATAAGTGCACCTTTTAATATTTTATGAGTGCCCCTTCTTCACCTCTCATAAGTGCCCTCTTTTAGTTTGACACATGCTGCCTTGTCTTTCTAATAAGTACACTTTTTCCTTTTGATGAATGCCCCTTTTCTTTTTTGATAAGACCCAATTCCCTTTCTCATAAATGGTTCTTCTCACACGTCTGATATATGCCTCTATTAATATCCCATAGATGCCCCTTTTCTTTCTTTCTTTCTCATAATTTATGAAACGTCTAAAGCTTCCGCGCTTCGCGCGGGTGGGGGAGAAACTGAATTCAGACAAGGATTAAGAGTCGAGCACGGTTCAACGAATCGTCTACTTTCTAATAATTTAATGAAACGCCAAAACTTCCGCACTTCGTGCGGGAGGGGCAGAACTGAATTCAGATAAGGATTAAGAGTCGAGAACAGAACACCGAATCGTCTGCTTTTTCTCATAATTTAATGTTACGTCAAAACTTCCGCGCTTTGCGCGGGGTGGGGGGGGGGGAGAAACTGAATTCAGACAAGGATTAAAAGTCGAGCACTGTTCAACGAATCGTCTACTTTCTCTAATAATTTAATGAAACGCCATAACTTATACGCGCTTTGCGTGGGAGGGGGAGAACTGAATTCAGATAAGGATTAAGATGAATATAGATAAGGATTAAGAGTCGAGAACAGTACACCGAATCGTCTGCTTTTTCTCATAATTTATGAAACGTCTAAAGCTTCCGCGCTTTGCGCGGGTGGGGGAGAAACTGAATTCAGACAAGGATTAAGAGTCGAGCACGGTTCAACGAATCGTCTACTTTCTAATAATTTAATGAAACGCCAAAACTTCCGCACTTCGTGCGGGAGGGGCAGAACTAAATTCAGATAAGGATTAAGAGTCGAGAACAGAACACCGAATCGTCTGCTTTTTCTCATAATTTAATGACACGTCAAAACTTCCGCGCTTTGCGCGGAAGGGGGGGGGGAACTTCATTCAGACAAGGATTAACAGTCGAGATCGGTACAATAAATCGTCTTCTTTTCTAATGATTTAAGGAAACGTCTAAGCTTCCACGCTTAGTGCGGAAGGCCTTACACCGACACCCTCCCCCATGAGCGCGCTTTGCGCGCTCTTTTAGTGATTTGCTTGCTCACTACCGCCCCTCCCTAAAATAAGATCCTAGCTCCGCACCTGCATTAAAATATATAGCTTTGATGTTGACTAAGTTGAAGAAATAATTCGTATATTTATGTCGTCGAGGAAAATGATCATTTGCGCATACGCAATTACTATAGATAGTCCATAGGAAAAACGATTTAGCCTTCGGCTCCAGGTTTATAGGGTAAAATTTGTAGATATTGGGACATTTAATTTTGTCGGTAATTGGTGGCTATTTTTGTCGGTAATCGTTTGTCTCTACACCCCCCCCCCCTCCCCCAATGAAAGAGGTCTAGCGATGCCCCTGATTGAAACATGCTTTAGGAACTTTGAGTTTGCTTAAAATTGTAGTAAATGATGAAAAATAAATCTGAATGTCATGTGTCATGAATTGACCTTGTTGTTTTACAATTGCTGTGCAAAAACTCCGACAGTGTAAGCTTTTCTTAATCTTATCAAGGTTTTGCATTTTACTCTGGTTACTTATTCACAAGACCACAACATAATTACTTTGCTCTTGGTTTTTTTTCTCCCGAAAGTTGCGAGCAGCCATGGATTCAAGCAAGGGACAAAATGATAGTTATGATGGTGGCAATCTTCTTCTTCACCAGTGGAGAGGTTGGACCCCTGAGGACGTCGGAAGGTACTTCAAAGTGAAACTTTTCCCTGAAGAGGGTGAAATTCTGACACGTAAGTCAAGACATGAAAAGAGTAAATTGGATTAATAGAGAATTCCATCCAGGGACAGGCTGGAGTTTTCCACCATGGGTCACTTATTTTGGGGGCTTGAGAGCCAATCAATATGTAGCTCATAGGTTGAGTGGGCCAGTCATTTTGGAATCCCCAAACTGAATTTTGGTCCCAGCCGGCCCCTGATTCCATTCTTTACGTTAACGTGCTCTTTGCTATGTTTTAATTTACCCTCCCCCAGCATTGCTTAGTTATGATAAGTTCGATTTTGCAATTAAATGGAAATCCAATCCTGATATCAATTACAAGTTATTTGTTATAATGCAGATAGGTCAGAGAAATCGATGTGTGAAAATGTGAAAGAAATTTGGTAATTAAACTTATGATCATGTAAATCTCATATTTGTAACATTGTATTGTCACGATGATATGTTAGAACTATTTTCGTCGGTGCACAAACATAAGAACACTTTAACTCTCATTTTTAGTCAGCTGCATTATGTCCCTCATCATATGATAATACAAGTAATAATCAACCATTTTTGTGTACCGCCTAACAGAAAGGAATTAATGCATGTTCCTATGCGATTTATAGAGCAGATTACAGAAAACAGAAGGAGTGGAAATGGTGCACTGGGTACATAATTTTAAGATCTTACAAAGAGCTGAATAAATATGTTTTCAAATTACTTCTGAACTTTTCATGTTTCTATGTTTCTAAGGTATTCCAGCAAGTCAATCTATCAAACAGTGGCTGCAATGCGCTGCATATCATATGAAAATCACCTTTCCCCTTAAGATTTTGTCACAGTTTGTGGGACATTAAACAAAATACTCTCTACTACAAATGCAGTATTCGAGTATTCGTATGATTGTTTTGTTTTGAACATCAGGTGAAAACATCAGTGGAAATCACTTGCCACAGATGACTGAGGAGAAACTGGATAAGATTGGAGTTAAGTAAGAAAAAACAAGTATAGCAAGTTTGGTTGATATCAGATTATAAAGCTGTTTCGTGGCACCCTGTATGCAATATATTTTCTTCTGGAAAAATTTAATGACTAGGATTCGTGCTATTTATGTTCCGTAATGATTTCTGAGAAAAATAACCTTCTTTTTGTTTTTGTCAGTGGAATTGTAACTTTCGATTAGAGATGAAATGAGGTGCTGAATCTACTATGATGTACGAAAGTTCAACGAACAATGATGATTATGGTAAACTAATAACATTTATTCATGTCATATAAGTGAAAGGATATTCATACCAGCCTCAAATGCTAGTCGGCCTTTTCATCCTATGGCAGTTGTACTAGGTTATAACATACATTGTCAAAGCAGTTTTAAAGATGATGAGGATGCATGTTTGATTGACGGAGGAAGATTTTTTTCAAAGTGTGGATGGAGCCTTTGCAGCACGTATAAAGGTATGTTCTCTTTCACTCTTTGACGCGAATTCACAAAGGGGGTTTGTCGACAAACCTAGGTTTATGTGCGTCATATGACGTGTTTCGACGCGTTTCGACGGACCTAGGTTTGTCGACAAATGTCCTTTGTGAATTCGGGCCTCAGAGTTGTCTTTGTCTTGTACATATAGTGAATGAATATGAGAATATTATGTTATGTTTTCGGTATGTTTTCACTAGTATTCACCATTTATTTTAGAACAATGGGGAAGAGGCTTTCTGTTGTGAAAATCATCAACACACTTACAAGAATCTCCCCTCAAAGCCTGAAAACCAAGGTAAGTACACATTTCAATTTGGAACCTAAATCAGGAATTATGTTGATCAAAATCATCAAAACACCACAGTTTCAAAGACTATATTGAATGATTTATACTAAAGCCTTGTTTTTGCCTATACATTGTTCTTAACCCAGGTTTTCAATGACTCGGTTCATGGCCATATTGACTTTGATCCACTGCTAATCGAGATCATAGACACGCCACAGTTTCAACGATTACGCTTCATCAAGCAACTCGGCTGTTGTTACTTTGTCTTTCCAGGCGCAGCACACAATCGATTTGAACATTCGCTAGGGTGAGTATAAAATGGTCTATTTTTATGAACATCATTACTAATGTGACTAGCATTTTGCTTACACATGTACCTAGTTATGTCTGAAATTTTAAATAATGACAAAAGAAATATTTTCTTTTTGTTTGGTTATATTGAATACCCACCATCATTGTTAGTTTGGGTTAAAAGAACAAAGAAGCGTTGCTACAGCCGAAATTGGATATATCAAGTTTTTGTTTCCTTTAGTCACAGGAAGTGTGAACGTTGATCTCTCTCTTCCTATCCTCTCTCTCAAAAACGATAAACAATGTACTAGTAAATAGCTAGGTTTCCAACTACATTATACATTGTGTATGTTGATAGATACATGGCTTAATGAAGGATTATATAGATGACTGACTAAAGGCCTTTAATGAATGTAAGAGTTGTAAGATATTTTTTTTTTACATCTGTATACCTGAGCACAGAAAACTTCTCGTCAAGCGAGTCATAATATTTCATTCATTTGATATATGAATGATTCGAATCAGTGTTATAAGATCTTATAGTATAGAATCATTTATTTCCTTTGAAATGCACCATGAGGCTAGTTTAATGAGGTAGATTGCTTGGCCAATGTATGCTACACTAGTGTCTTTTGGCAAAACATTAATCTACATTTGCCACTCTCCAATCAGGTTTAAATAGGTTCTGATAAAAAGGAATTATTGAATGCTGTGAGCACTAAAATCATTAGCCTTGCTAAAGCGAACCTGATACTGGAATGCCTTAAGCTCCTTGCGTTGCGTGTAGGACCGCTGTAGAAATATCCATTACTATTATTAATTGTCGTTTGACAATAATCATGGCAATATAAATTAAGCAATTATTTCGACCTATCACAAATGGTCATTAGAAATGGACTCGTTCAAGGATTGTCATTGATGTCTACTCTACAGAGTGTGTTACCTTGCTGGAATGCTTGTCCGCTCTCTTCAACGGAAGCAACCAGAGCTTGAGATCACAAACGAAGACATCCTTTGTGTGCAGATTGCTGGTCTTTGTCATGATCTAGGTAAGAATGAGAATAGTCTCAACTATTGCTGCATATATGGGAATTTCTAAATTGCTAGGTCTGGGCCCGCCCCCCCCCCCCTCTCAGTGGTATTAAGGGTACGCATATGCGTGTTTCCTCCTATTGAAAACACCCCCTAATTCCGGTGTGTAAAGTCATTTTTGTGTACTACGAGCCGGACTTTAGTGCGTGAAAAGTACCCCTTTACCGGACATTTTGGTAACACGCATGCGGTCATTCCGACCCCGGAGTGGGTGGGAGGGGGGGGGGGCCTGGGGTCTGGGTAACTGAGTCATCAACATTGGCACGAACAAAACGTAGATCAAAGAAAGAAAAACAAAACAAAAAGCAAATTACAATATGTTAGAGTAAAGGCCACCATTTGATCAGGAAAGGACATAGTTTTGTCAGGATATATTACCCTATTAAATGTTGTTTAAACTTTGTTGATGAATCAAAATTTGTAATATAATGACTACTGTGCACAATATTACCTTTTTTGTTCCATTCTTTGTCTTTGTTTATCAGGTCATGGTCCGTTTTCACACTTGTTTGATAAATTGTTCATCCCTGCCGTCAAACCTGACTTTGAACACAAGGTGAATGCAAGTATTTTGTGGATTAAAAAAAAAGCAATATCTGTGTTATCATATTTTGCGGTAAAATATCTGTAATATATTACGGTTGATTCCATTTTATATGAAATCAGTGAAAAGAAGTTTATGAAATCAGTGAAAAGAAGTTTAAAATTATATATGTATGGCGATATGGCCTAGGAAATGATGAGAGAACCATCTCAAATTTGTATTTTGTCAAGTCTCTATAAAGGGACGAATAGACAAATGCATTTAAAGTATGACCATTTTCGTAACCTAATGATTTGACACATCAGTTGGAAATAATCCCATCTCCTGATCAAAATAATGATATGGTTTTCAGTCCAATAATTACCTTGTGTGCGTACTACCTTACAATTTGGAGTATGTATTTCCGTATTGGTAATGTATAAATAAGTATTCTTCAAAATTTAATTTCTTAGAAGGTTTCCTTCATCAGAATGTACAGAATGCACGCGGGAGAGGGATTCAGATGTTGAGTAACAAAGTATAATTATTTTAATGAAACTCTGTGGAACATAATCGGGAAAAAACGAATGAAATCAACTTAAGGCAATTTTCTGTTTCTATTGTTTTCCCTATAGAAACCATATTCAGAATAATATTATGTCATTATTATAATATAACATTTGTCACATTTGATGCACGTGCAAGGCTGTATGTTACTATTGTTTGTAGCTGTTCTTAAAGACAAACTTTCTGCAGTTTATTATGTCATAATTCGCTGACACAGGAATTGGTCGAAAAACCATGTTTGTGTTCACAAGTTTCACACTCAGTGAATTTAGATTTCCCACCGAGAAACTAATTGAGCGTACCCCGAGTCATGTTGAGAGACTTTGGATGAGGACAATTTATGATGATTATGAGCTTTCCTGATGGGGGTGCAATCAAGGGTGTCGATTTGTATCCGTGGTTGGGGGGATGATAGGTGCCAAAATATTTTCGGCAATGGATGAAAGCAATCAAGAGGATTTCATTTTAGGGGCGGTAGTGGGCACGGGAACTCCCCCCCGCGGGGACCGTTCCCCCCCCCCCCCCGCGAAGCGCGGAAGCTTTGACGTTTCACTAAATTATTAGAGAAAGAAGACGATTCGTTGGACCGTTCTCGACTCTTAATCCTTGTTTGAATCAAGTTCCCCTTCCTCCGTGCGTAGCGCGGAAGCTCTGACATTTCATTAGCTTATTAAAGACAGAAGACGATTCGATGTACCATTCTCAACTCTTAATCCTTGCTTGAATCAAGTTCCCCTTCTTCCGCGCATAGCGCGGAAGCTCTGACGTTACATCAGATTATTAAATAAAGAAGACGATTCGATGTACCATTCTCGACTCTTAATCCTTAATGTTTGAATCAAGTTCCCCCTTCCCCTGCTGATGTTTCATTAGATTATTAAAGAAAGAAGACGATCCTATGTACAATTCTCGTCTCTTAATCCTTGTCTGAATTCATTTTCGCCCATTCCTGCGCGAAGCGCAGAAGCTTTCACATTAGTGAAAGAAGACGATTTGTTGTATCGTGTCCTTCATGAACTCAGTTTCCCCACTACCGCGCGAAGCGCGGAAGCTTTAACGTTTCAATAAATTATTACTCTTAATCCTTGTCTGTATTCATTTTCGCCCATCCCGCGCTTAGCGCGGAAGCTTTCACGTTTCATTACATTTTTACGCTTAATCCACGTCTGAATTCAGTTGCCCCCTAACAGATTTGCCCTTTTCACTGAAATATTAGAGAAAGAAGACGATTCGTTGTACTGTTCTCTATATTAATCCTTGTCTGAATTCAGTTTTCCCACTGAAAATAATTTGTGTTACAAATAAGTTGTGACATAATAATCTTTCTCCAAAAATGAAAAATCTTTTAGGAAATATCAGGAAATAATATGAGTGAAAAAAACAAAAATAAAGATACAATGACGTGAATTTTAAAAAGGGTGAACGGAAACAACATAACAACTAGAGAACTATTTCATAAGTCATACTAATGTCCGAAAATCTTTCTCCTTATCTCCGATCTCATCACAAAATCGTCACAGAGTTCATCTATGTTTACACTGTCCAGGATTGTCTGATGTGCATTGCAGATTGCTATTTTTGCGCTTCGCGCTTAACATTTAGCTCGTTGCTTTTTGACGCTGCGTCTTTGCATTTGGCGCACTGCATTTCTATGATGCTGTTGATTGAACAAATTGAATAAATTCATCAATTCCTGATGAAGCCGTATGAGCGAGAATTCAATTTATTCTTGTCTCATATACGGTTGTCTTATTTACTTCGTATATATGTATGTATTATGAAAATGAGATAGCAAAATGTGTATATTGATGGTCATCTTGCGAGTAATAACCATTAACTACTCTCATCGGGCTCTCACCCTTAATTTTTCTCTTCATTTTTTTTTTTTTTTAATGGTGAATTATTGGGGGGGGGGGGGATGATTGTACAGGCCATCCCCCCACCTGAAATATTGGGGGGATATATCCCCCCATCCCCCCCCCCCCCCGGGATCGACACCCATGGGTGCAATGTATTTAATAAAAGACCATTCGATTAAAGCGAAGACCATTCTCAGTAATTCCCAGTAATCTGTTGCAAGATTAATACCAGAGTGGGGTCAAAGTCAACAAGGGAACCTATGCTTATGTTTATTTACTCACTACATTGATATTTTGTTAACCAGCATGAGCACCTGTCTGTGCTGATGTTCGATCATCTTATCAAGGAGAATCATCTAGAGGCCAAGCTGCAAGAGAATGGATTAAATGAACAGGATCTTCTGTTCATCAGAGAACAGATTGAAGGGCTACCTAAAGACTCTCGTCAGGAGCAGGTCAGAGATTTTTCAAAATTATGCCAAATTCATCAATAAAATCTTGTGGACTAAAGACAATTTACTTATTCTAAGACATACATACATCACTGTTTATTTTGTAGGATATATTTCCTATTTAAAAACTAAAAATTGCGTTAACAAATAGTTGATGTCAGTGAAGGGACTTTCTACAGAATGTGTAAATGCACACTTTTTATTGATTAACCCTATAATCTTAATCAAATATATAAAACAAGTGCATTGTGATGAAGATTCGTTCATAAAGCATATATGTATATATATATATGTATGTATATATTTCCCAGTGTTTGTATTTATATTTGTTAAATAAATGAATGAGTGTGAGTTTTAAAGTAGATATTCATTGATTTTAAAAACTAACTTTATTTTCATTATTTCAAAGTTGATACTTTGATTCGACAAGGTGATCAAATTTTAATGCTTGGAAACTGCGAAGTAACGATTATTATAAATTACAAAACGCTTAAATACAGCCCCGGCATAGCACCTGAAGAGCTCTCCGAACGCTGCTGAGATGTGTGACATCACAGTATGAACATGATTTGCACGAACAGACGATGTCCCATGACATCTTACACATTTTCAGTGCCTGTATTTTCATCTTTTGAGTTCTTTCTCTTACTTCACTACCGACAGGCTAAACCCCATGACTTGTACAAGCCGATCATCTGTCTTATTTTCAAGATATTTATGATTGGAAATCGAAATCATATTTTGCGTTTTCCTAACGGTTCCCTAAAGTTAAAGTTTATTGGGGAAAACGAGTATTAAAAATGGGTCACTCAAATTTGTTTACTTTTTTGAGGCACTTCTTGGTCATTTTGAAGCGCATTTTTAGCGTTTCAATATGACACTGGTAACACGTAGAGCCGTGCATCTCAGATTTAACATTTTTAAACGATGCCTTTAAAACAATAAATTCTCAGTGTAAAGAGATTGCTCTTATACAGCACTAAATCCTAAAAGAATTCCGGCGAACAGAATATGATTTTTTACACTGGTGCACTGAGCATATATTGGGGGTACATGAAGCTCTTGTTTGGATTTAGATTTCTATTCAGTTTATTCTCAATTTCCTACCCTTTGTAGAATGATAAAGTGTGGCTGTACAGAGGAAGAAAGCGGGAGAAAAGCTTCCTCTACGAGATTGTGGCTAACAAAAGGAATGGTATTGATGTGGATAAATGGGATTACTTTGCACGCGACTGTCACAACCTTGGAATGGCTAACAGCTTTGATCATATGAGGTGCATGGAATTTGCCAGAGTGATCCAGGTAGAAGGAGAAAAACAGATATGCAGTAGAGACAAGGTAATATATGGTAAAAAGTTTAAGAAGGTTTTCATGTTTGAGAGATATATCGATGCTTGATGTATCTTTCATTTTTTTCTTCTTAATATAATGCGAGGGGATATTGACTATTTTTCATATTGCGCTAGAAGTCTAGAATCTAAAACCGTATATCTGTATCATGACCTATGACCTTTAAGGTCATATAACTTTTAATCCATGGGGAGAAAAGAACTTCAAAATTCTAGTACTTTACTTTCCCAAATTGATAGTCTTAGAATTAAATGGAAAAACATGTGCAAGTCAGCCTTTAATTTGCAACCCTGAAAAATAATATATTTGTGTAAACTAGATAATTTTGTTAAGACATTTGATTGAATTTTTGATTACAGTAGTTTCTGTTTTTTCTCTCTCTCTCCCTCTCTCTCTCTCTCTCTCCCTCTCTTTCTCCCTCTCTCTCTCTATTGGAATGTATTTCTAGGAGAAAGTCAATCTGAATGAAATGTTCCACACGCGGTCTATTCTCCATCGTAGAGCTTACCAGCACAGAGTAACCAGAATCATCGAAACAATGTAAGTATTCTTTAAAAGAAATGACAATCATTAAGAATGCTCAATTGTATTCACGTGTACATTTTTGATGACTTGTTGAGAGTTCTAAGTACCATGATGTCTGTAGTCTTTTTATTGTCTGTTAGCAATGCTCAACATGACTGTTGCCTGGTCACTGCATGGTTTTGATGTCGGTTTGTTTTTCCTGCATTTTCCTTTCAGAAGGAAAGCCAGTTTTCTTTAATAGAAACTTTACACATTTTAAAGATGGGGTTTGAAAGATTAATTTTTTGTTGAGTCATTTTTCCTTTGCCATTTCCTCTGTATATTTCTTTATCACTGCTTTCTGTTTGACAGTCTATGTATAGTTATTTGTTCTCGTTCACTCCTTTATGTCTTCTTATTTCTTTTGTGACAATAGTAAAGGGATAGTTGAGTTTTGTTGCCGAGGGCGCTACACAAAGTAATTGTTTTGTGAGGCAATGAAAAACTGAGTGTCAACATTTTAAAGAAAATACATTTTAAATGACAAGATCATCTTTGTTTGATCAAAATCGGTTCAGACACGACTGAAATATCCATAAATATATAACTGTTTCTAACTATTTGTGGGGCCCCACAAATATTGAATACTTTTGAACCAGTCGTTGAAAAAACGAAATAGCACCTTATACATTTTATTTCCAGCCAATGCCAATGTTGGCTTCTTGTCGGCTTTTTCGTGTTGATTATTTTACACACAAACAGCCGGCACGTGCATTGTTAGTATCAATTAATTAAATAATTAACGGTCATAGTATTTCACAAATTGGTGTGATTGTATTTAATCTAAATTTCACACATGTTAGGGTCTAAAATTACATTCAGAGTAATTTTAGGTCCTACAAGGCATTACAAATGTCGTAAATAAGAATAGGAGCAATAACCATGCATTTGCAGGTCTTAAGCAAGCACTCAACTATCCATTTGAAGAAAAAAATCCTTATAGAAGGCTTCATACAAGAATATATTTTTGCTATTTCTTTTCGTCTTTCAGCAGACATTTTTGTCCCCTTTCAAGTCATTAGCATGTATGACATTTTGCTAAAGACTTATTGATTATTTCAAGTGTAAAGTTTTCAGGTTGATACACCTATGATCGTGGTAACACGGTTGGCTCGACACCAAATCAGTGTGTTAGAGTCATTGGTAATTTCATCAATTCTCAGTGGAAGCGATATTTTGTTTTACTTTTTTAATACCTTGGTAAAATAATCTAAACAAAAACAAATAATTTTAACACCATCTGTTTACTGTCTTTTTTTCATTCATTTTTCCCTGTAGGATAGTAGAGGCTCTGACCAAAGCTGATCGCCATCTCAGGATTTTCCCAGGAGCCAATGGGTCAGTTTCTATCATATATATTATGATCTATACATTTTAATCATAACTTCATATCATGATCAATTTTCCAGAATCTCAGACATTTTATGCATCTCTGGAAAGCAATATACATGCATCTTTAAGGCCGGGTACTAATCGACTTATTGTGGACAGTGATGAACTATCGATTCAGTGCTATGAACTGTAAGATAAGTAATGTGTGATAAATAGACACAATGTAAACAAAAATTAGCACAATTTGTACTACACCCATTTATTTTCCCTGCATAACTCTAATTTTTAACCATAAGAAAAAGAGGAAACAATGTCCCTCGAGTGTTTCGGAAGTATTTTAAATAGATGTTTATATACCGTTCAAACAATTTTTAATTTTCACGAAAAATATAGAATGGTTCTTTCAAAGAGTTGACTTTTACCCTATTGCTTTTATTTAAACTCTTTCTGAATTTGAAAATTGTTTTTTAACTGAAATCCTTGAGCATGAGAAAGCTGACCATGTCTGGGTCATTGAATAACATGCATGCATGTACAGTAGCGTACGCATGATTTGTTCAGGGGGGGGGGGTTAACATTTTTAAATCGGGCCCAAAATTTCGGTTTTTGTTGTTGTTTTTTTTTTTTTTTGCAATAAATAATTTATTTGTCTAGCTTTCTCTCTTGTATATATCGTAAATATTTATCTCATGTTTCTTGTTTTACTCGAATTGCTCTTATCATTATTGTAAGTTCTTATTTTGCTGTAAGTTTTTCTTACTCCTCTAGTATCTATTTTCATGTTTTCTATAGGGACCCCTCTGTAAACCATGAGTAGGACCATCCCTCCGTCTTTCTTTTTTTTATAAGTGTGTCTTTATGATTGTAAATATATATATATGTTGATGTTTTTTAAATGACGGAAAATAAATACAATACAATACAATACAATAAAACGATTCAGCCGGCCGCTGAATAAGCGGGGGAGGGGGTGGGTAAGAGCACATTTTTTTAATTTTTTGTCATGGAATTTGAAAATTTGACTGGTCGGCATTTTGTTCCCTTGGGGGGGGGGGGGTAGGGTCACCTTGTTTAGGTCATCAGTTAGCATTTTTTGTTTTTTGTTAGAACATATCCCCTGCTCATAGAATGATGGTCTCAAGGAAACCAAATATTTAGATTGAAAATGTTTGAGAAAGGATGATTTGCTTCTTTAATGAGTAGACATGCATATTCCTCTTTCTAATATTTAGAATAGTTTTTACATTGATACCCTTAAACAGGAGTAAGCTGACCATGTCTGAGTCATTGGGTGACATGTATGCCTACACACACCTGACAGACAGTGTGCTAGAACACATCCTCGTCTCACAGGAGAAAGATCTCGATGATTCCAAAGAAATTATTCAGAAGATCCTCACCAGACAGCTCTACAAGTGTGTAGGACAGTTACAACTACCAGCAGGCACAGAAGAGGTAAGAAGTATACAGGGTGCCCCCAAAAGAGTGCAACACCTGAGAGCTGCAATTCCAAAAATATTTTCAGTGTCGTTGACTTGTATCTCATTAGGTATAAGAAAAGATACTAAGTAAAAATGACACCAAGACCGTCAATTTTTGGTAAAGGCCCTTTTACACTTTCACGGATCGCATCACGGATCACGGTAATGCCGGAGATAACACGGATGATCCCGGAGCGACGATCCGGGATGATCCATGATGCGATCCGTGAAAGTGTAAAAGGGCCTTAAGGCATTTGCTATTCTCCTACAATATTTGTGAGTCAATGTCGTTTTGCTACCATAGTTATTCTTAATTGAAGCAGCAAGAAATTTGCGCATGATAGCTTCCCTTACAATCAGATGTGTTAATGACAGTTGGTAATTGTGAAGACAGCTTTATCTGTTGACCAGTTCAATAAACTTCTGAAGTCCCATTTAATTTGGTAAAGGGCAATAAATTGTATTGAGTCATCTCTTTTAAGTGATGTATTATTGTTTAAAGCCCGTCTACACTAGTTTACCGAGGAGGATTAGACCTACCTGTAAGGTCATTGACAGGTGGTTATCTCATCAAATCAGCTCTCAATTAACATAAGAAATAGAGGATCATGGGGGAACAACGGTCACCGATTAGACATTGTTTGCTATATAGAGGGCGCAAGCAGCAATAACAGAGGGGCTTTAAGTGGCCCAAACATAAGGAGTAATGTGTGCAGCACTCGGTTACTGCAAGGAAAATGTGCTATATTGAATACCCTCTAGACTGGATTGATTTACACATCTGTTCAATGCATTTGCTTTCTTGATGTTTTCCAGCAACCAATGGAAATCAGGAGAGAGATCTGTCAAGCTGGGTCAGAGGAGGACCTGAAAGGACCTCAGCTTGACCCAAATGACCTGGTGGTAGATGTAAGTACCCAATACTTCCCTAAATACTTGTAGTAGTGTATACTTATAGAGAAATTTTTTGACTGAATTGATGGAATAAATAAATGCTCATGAAATATTAAAGATATATCGACTGCTATGAGAGGCCTGGCTGTTTTATAGGCTCAAGGGGATGTTGCATCCTACCATGATCCCTCGGGGCGCCTGGGCGTCTCCGAGAGCCAGTATAGAAACAGCCAAGCCTCGAATATTAAAACAGTCGATGTATCTATTATATACCGAAATGACACAAAAATCTAACAAGAATTCTTACCTTAACCTTTTCCTGAGTAAAGATTGAGTAAACATTGGGGTTAAATCATCACAGAAAATCTGAGATACTGTCTGTTCATCTTCGCTGGAAAGATGACTGAATATTAAAATCATTTGGCAATCGCAAACAAAAATCACTGTATTGTATCTACGCTCGCACAAAGTAACTTTTAACACATAAACCAATGGGTATCTGATCAAAATTTAACTTATTTCCCGTTACCCAGAATCTTTCGGGAATCTCACTCATAAACTGTTGACCGTTACTGGTATTGTTCGTTTCTTTACGGGAATGGTTAAAATCACGACTCGATTTCTATAGCAAGGTATATAAAAATTATTATATCCTGCATCAGAAAAAATTATTGGTTTTTTATATTGGTTGAGAGCTCGTCACGTGACCAGAAATATTTCATTTGGTTAAAGGTAATACAAAGTTTTGGGATGTGGTCATGAATTCGTTTCAAATGAACATATTGGAAGCATATGCAATTTTATGATATTCAATGATCGTTGTCGCGGTTGAAATCTAGTCTAAAGTGACGAAATTAGCAATAATAAACTCTTTATGTTGTATAGCGCCCTCTCAAGACTGATATTATTTAGCTTTAAAACAATGTTTCATGACTACAATCGACCGATTTGCTATTTCCGTTTGAAAATTACATATCAGAACTGCATATTCTGAGATTGTCATGGTCGCAGCTGCCATGGCATTAGGCGCTATTTGGAATATTGGAAGTTACCGGGAGCACCGGTTAATTTTTGATCGTTCAATTTCTCGAAAGTGTTTTAGGGGCTAAATTTTCTAGTGCTTATAATACATCCACAGGGGGCATACAAATAAATCAAAATAGTAAAGAATTACTATCCATCCAATTTTCAAAACTTCGCTTTACCTTTAAGGTTGCCCTGAAAAGTACTATTTGGGAGTTGAATTATTCTTTGATTTTTTTTTTCTTCAAATCTTAATTTCATGATTTGTTTTTATTTTTAATTCTTTTTTAAATTTTAGATAAAAGATTTTAGTTCAATAAAATAAGAAAAAATTAAATTGTATATTTTTTTTAAAATAAATTTTTGATGCAGGATATAAAACAAATATACCATGCCATTTTTCGAGGTACTGTTTTAAACTATGGACCTCGGTGACTCCTAAAGTACCATTTCCTTTGAGGTTGCGCGCCTCAGCAAATAGTACTATTGGAGTCACCTATTGCGCATAGTTTTAACCAAAACCTTTCAAGACAGTGTTTATTTCTATCCCCCCCCCCCCCCCCCCTCCCCACTCTGGGGTCGGAATGACGGCATGCGTGTTACCAAAATGTCCGGTAAAGGGGTACTTTTCACGCACCATTCCAGCTCGTACATACACAAATTGACTTTACACACCGGACTTAGGGGGGTGTTTTCAAAAGGAGGGAACACGCATATGCATACCTTAAATAACACTGAGCGGGGGGGGGGGGGCCGGGATTTGTATATATATTATACCTCGTTCACACCACCAAAATGACTACAAACCGACTCCAAAATGACTGATTCTTGGCCATTAGGGGTGATGTAGTTTCTTGTTTAGTCTGTTTTTGGTATGGTATCTGTCTGACTGGAGAGACTGTGACCTAAAAATAAAGTTGAGCTCTGGTCATGCGATTGCATTTTAAAAGAAATGGTGTAGAATCGATCAGAAAAAGTTGATCATGTAGCATATAGGTGTTGGTGTGTACTGCAAGGTTCTGGAATCATCAACATGATAAGAAATTTGGCCCAATGTAGGTAAAAGTAACAAGCACTGCAGACAGAAAGATGTGGGACTGTATACAAACATGTGTCATACAAATGTGGTCCTCATTCTTAAGCTGTTACATGTCATATTTAGAATATGATGGTATTTGAAAGCCATGCTTTTCAGGGAACATTTTTTCTCTGATGTTCTTCCACACTTGCATAATAACAATGAATACGCATAAAAATTTGTTTTTCACCTTTCCCCAGATCTCAACCTTCTCTTTAACATGAGAAGGGAGGAAATTAACTGTTGGGAGATTTAGTATTATTTAACACGTGTCTTCTCTTATGAGTGCATAAATAGGGAGTTTGCCCCTCAGGGAATTTCTAGTTCTTGAGAAAGATTTCCACACCACGAAAGTCAATGAAGTGAGAAGTGAGAAGTGCAGGAGTGGATATTTTCATTTTAATTACAAGGTAATTTTAGAAATGAAAACGAATCCATTCAACTTTAGAGCTCTCTGAATAACTGAAAATGATACTGTTGTGCGACTGCGACAAATAATATAAGATTATTTATGTCTGATGGGACCGACCTTCAACATCACCATCTGAAAGAAGTGACTCAGTTTCGAACTGGGGTCAATCAGAGTCAGTTTATAGATGAAGACCGAGAGCTGAGCATAACTCCGATGGTACCACTAAACCGACTAATATAGGATTTCCCGGCCAAATTCGCGCGTTTGTCATTCGAATTCATTGATAAGACAAACAACTTCCTTACATGAACATTTACAAATATACTGAGACCATCAGGTCCGTAGATGCAAGTCGTTTTTTTCTTCTTAACAATCAAACTTAAATGCTGATGAATATCAGATAAATCTAATAAGTATAAGTGTATAAATGCAAGAAAATGAAATATGATAAAATACACATGAAAAAACAATCTTTAAAGAAAAAGAATGAGCTATAAAAAGTGTGTAATAAACGAGAAATGTATATTGACCATCAATTTAAGTGCACAAAGTGCTAATTTGAATGCTACAAATGAACTAGAATGCTAAAAGTACACCGTCGCGATGTCAGAAAATCGTGTTGCGCCAAATCGAATGACCAAATAGCGAAAGAAGCACATTGTTCATTGATTTGAATGAAACATACGTAGATTCTAACGAAAATTCCATAGATTTGAAAACTAGAAAAGGGAATATAAACCCGAGATATACCTGACTGCACTAAAACCGTCGTATTCGAACGCAAGACAAATTGATTTGAATGACAAAATCGCGAATTTGGCCGGGAAATCCTATATTTCCCTATCTGTTATTGTCTTTCAGGAGGTGAAGATCGATTATGGAATGGGTAAACGGAACCCTGTCGACTACGTCAGGTTCTACTCCAAGGAAGACCCGAACAGGGCCGTCGAGATCAGGAAAGGACAGGTTAAGGAATTTCATGACATTTCTGACTTTCATGTAATTTGCCCTTACGCCGTTTCGGCTCTCAGCACATGATACCATGTTATATGAACGTTTACATTGCAGGTACCCATGGGAAATAACTTGTTGTATTATACACGGACATCAAATCTAAATCTCGATCACCTGTAACTTAAAATGATAAAAAGGCATAATCTCATACAGACCATATAAGCATATAGATATATGCTTTTAATAGAGGGACTTGCCAGTAATGTTCAGTTAATAATAATAATAATAATAATAATAATAATAATAATAATAATAATAATAATAATAATAATAATAATAATAATAATAATATTAATAATAATAATAATAATAATAATAATAATAATAATAATAATAATAATAATAATAATAATATTAATAATAATAATAATAGTAATAATAATAATAATGTTTTATTTACCCAGGGTAGCCACTTCAGTGATGAAACTGTTCTTCCAGCGGGCCCTGCATAACATAATATGTTATTACTACCCTTCTCCAATCTAATATGCTGAGCGCCTAGCTAGAAGGCAGAAGGTCCCATTGTTATAAGTCTTTGGTATGACTCGGCCGGGGAACATACCCACGACCTCCCGTTCATGAGGCGGGCGCTCTAACCACTGAGCTACCATGCTATCTATGCTATTGTGTAGCATACAATGCAGTATGGATGTAGTCAGATGAGGCAGATGAGAGAGGGCGTAGCGATGTTGGTGGATAGTCTATAAAGAGTTATAGCCCATCATTCCAGGCGCGGATCCAGGGGTAAGCGGGCCGCAAACAAGAGAGAGAGAGAGAGAGAGAGAGAGAAGGGAAAGGGAATGAGGAGAGAAAGGAAAAGAAAGAAGAGGAAGAAGAAAAAAAAAGGAGGGGAAAAGGGAGATCGGGGGGGGGGGGGCGGCGGCCGAAAGGGCCTTGCCTCTCAGACTTAATACCTTTGTTAATCTTTCTGTGGGAAACAAAATAAACATGAATTGAAAAAAAATGAAATAATGACCTGCCAGTGTCACAAAAACCCCTGGATGATCATCTGACGGTAATTTGATGCCTAAAACCCCAGAAGCTCCGCTCCCTGCATGGACCCCACGCCAATTAGTGTCCTACCAGTGTCACAAATAAGGTATACAAATTCATCTGACCGTAGTTGCTACGCTCTACCTGATCGTAAATACTTTAACCCCCACTCCCCCCCCCCCCCCACTCACTTTGAAAAACGTTCAGCGGGGCCTGAATGTAAGAGTGAGTGGGGTGATGCGGATTTTTTTTTGTCTGACCCCCCCCCCCCCCAACGTTTTTGCTCATCACGCCACTGCTGGTCACCAGTACGTACCAATATTTGGCTCGCATAATTTCAAATTTGGCCCCCCCCCCCCTCCAAGAAATCCTGGATCCGCGCCTGCATTATTCATACCAACAGTTTTGGGTATTCTTGAAACTTTGACAAGGTTTTCTGGCCTACAGGTACCCACTTTCAAAATCACCTTGTGAAGGACCCATCCTCTTGCCGCGTCCTGGCAGGGATGAATAGATAAACTGATCTGTAATAGTTTGGTTAGGAGGGATTAGACCACACATGAAGGGCACTGACAGGTGGCTATCTCATTAAGTCGGTTCTCAGCTAACGTAAGAAAAGGGATCATGGGGGACCAATGGTCACCGATCAGGCATTATTTCTATATAGAGGTAGCAAGTAGCTACAAGTAGTACAGTGGGCCTTTAAGGTCATGCAGGAACAAAATACTAGTCAATTAGTAATGCATGTGTGTTTCATTGACATCAGGTATCCACAATGCTTCCAGAGAATTTTGCAGAGCACTACATCCGTCTCTACTGCAAGCATCGCGATGCGAAGAATGTTGCCAAGGCCAAGAAATGTTTCACTGATTGGTGTACGACAAAGGGGTTCGCCCAACCAGAGGTAAGTAAGATACCATGAAAGTGATGCTCAAATGTGCTTTAGGCTCGCTTTGCGGTCAAAATTTCGAACTTTAACCTGAGTGTAGCACTACGATAATTTTTTTAGATAGGCGCTTTTTTCATTGCACTTGATTTATGTGAATAACTTGCAGAAAGACAACCTTTATTTAAATCACCAACATTCTGCTTCATACAACTTTTCTCTTGGCTTTATCGACTGCCTTTATGTTAAGAAAAAGTATACTCGTGGTTGTAACTTGTGTATTATGTTAATTAGAAAGGTTAATTTTGAAATCAATCATATTTTATTACTATATACTAATATATATGCAACAAAACATTTTTCGTCAGAAATGTATTAATCTGTTAATACTATTGATATGCGCTTAATGTTTTGTATGATTCTTTGAAACTCGTCAACAGGCCAATCTGAATATGAATCTGTAATTTTCTTTAACCAGTCATTGTTATAAGGATCGAATAACTAATTTAATTGTGCTGTAAGTTGTTTTATTAATTTTCTTTAGACTGGCAACTTCCTTGACTGTGATATGACACCAGTAAAAAAAAAAGGACGAAAATCGCAGCCTATCCGTAACCCGAAACGAAGAAAAGAAGAAAAGGCTGTGAGTGAGTGATAGCAATATGTCAGTCGTATACTGTAGTATCCATCTATTTTATTTTGGATAAGAGGTTACTTTTGAAAGACTAAACAGATGATAAGACACATTGGTGTTTGCAAAGTGCTTTAAATTGCCTTGCAAAGTTAGTTTAAAGATACTATGTGAATATGTCATGTATGTTCTACCTGTGAAATTTAAACATTAAGCAGTGTCCTGGTATTCAAATTATGCAAGGAACCCGTTTACCTTCTAGGCTTCACTGCCAGACTGAATTGAGTGACCGACTGGCATTCTTTTTTCTGTGGTAATAACATACATAAAATGAGCTGTAACAGGTACATGAGCATTTGTCTACACCAATAACCCACTACTTTTAATGGCCAAATCAAACTGATTGAATCTTTCTGCAGCACAAAACGTACAACCGTTCGGTAAAAGGGTCTACAAATCAGACGATTACGTAGGTAATTGCAATCACTTAAGGGGCTTTCACACCGGGCCTTGCGAAGAGTTGCGTACCGACTACGCCGATCGTATATGAAACCCTACGCCGATCTTACGCAACCTTACGCTGGCCTACGCAACTGTACGCGGAGGGACACAAATGGGTACGCGAGATGAACGCAAAAAAATTAACATGTTTAATTTTTTCGCGTACCTTCGGCGTAGACACTTTACGCAGAAAGTACGCAATTTGTACGCAAGTCTACGCAACACTACGCAACTGTACGCCAAGCGTACGCAACAATACGCTACCCTACGCCAGTCCGACGAAGCATTAAATACGTATAAAGACGTCCTAGATCCAACCTGCGCGCAGCCTAGCCACAATGACTGCTTGATCCCTGCTGGACTTTTCATTACTATTCCTGCAGTGCTACATTTTATTCGTCCCGCTGGACTCTATTGTCGCTGCTGAACTATATCTGCAGGATTTATTTATTTCTGCTTTAATTACTGCAAAAATGCCAGGAAAGAAGGGCAAGGGTTGTGGTCGAGGCCACTTGTTTCCATCCCTCTAGAGTATCTGGGCACATGAGAACTTCGTCAGATAATTCATCGATTATTGCCTGGCAAACTTGTGGGATAAACATGGAAATAGTGTTATGGGCAACTCGGAATCCATATTGAAGTGTTTTGTAGCTGTTGCTGGTGGCCAGAAACCTCAATGTGACAGCCAGCTTTAAAGCAAGTTCCAAAGCAAGTTCCAAAGACTTCCTGTAGTTAGTATCTCGTTTGGTAATCCTCAGTGCAATTCGTGTCAAAAGTTCATGGAATTCCGGTGGTCCCATCCGCATCAAATTGGTAAATGCAAAAACATCCTCAGCATGCAGTTCTTTCGTCAACTGTTCATATTGCCCCTACAGGGGCCTGCGCTGGATCCAAGGTTTTACCCACACACTACTTCTTCTTTTTCTTCTTCTTCTTCTTCTTCTTCTTCTTCTTCTTTTTCTAGCTTCTTTCCTTCTCTGTTCTTTTTCTTCTTCCAAGCGTTCATGTTCTGCCACATGACTAATTAGTCTTTCCAGGGTATCCAGATGTTGGAGTATTGTATCTTTTTGCCGAGGGCCCAAACAACTCATGATCTTTTTCTGCCTGTGTTATTACAACAGTCATCTGTAATTCAAAAAGCAGTGATGTGTTCTGGACAGCAGGCAGCAGTGGACTGAGGGCAGAAAACTAGGTTTATAAAGCGCCAATGGCTACACTCGCGGCTCCTACGAGCGTCTATTGCATGTTTACACGGCACTTTCGCACACAGTAAGCAACCGTACGCAAGCGTAAGCAACCCTACGCCAGGCCTACGCAAGCGTACGTAATCCTACGCCAGGCCTACGCAAGCGTACGTAACCCTACGCCAATTGCCTACGCCGTAGGTACGCGGTGCCTACGCACAGGGTACGTAACTATACGCCATCGTACGCAAGCCTACGCATATCCTACGTAGGGACTACGCCGAAGCATCAATTTATTCATGAGTACGCAGCTTAACTTCGGCGGAGTCGGTACGCAACACTACGCAATTCTACGCAGATCCGATGTGAAAGGGGCTTTAAGTCGATTCGACAACTAATGGTCGTTAATTTCCCACTAAAAGCCATTTTCAAGCCCTTTCGTTTTGAGGGAAGTTCTAAAATAGTAATGTCTTTTAAATGCCGTTGGAAATTAACCTTTTCATTTTTTTGGCCTGCAAATTAATTCAGCCTTATTAGATATAGAAACATTTTCAGTATCATATTGATTTTTTAATATAAATACTGTGTGACCTATTACTGTATATGAATTTGATTTTGAATGTGTGTATTTTTTTAGTGACTTTAAACATGGTATATACATTATTAGATACAAAAGATAAAGAATGTATACATTATGCAGCACTGTGTATAATCGTGATGCTTCCATATGCTTGTCCGTGTCTTAGTTAAAAGTTGCATATCATCATGTACAAAAGAACAATACCCAAAAGAGTTGTGTAATTGTATGATGTACATGTACAGTGCATACTAATTATGCTTCCATATTTTTGGTTGGCTTTTTTTAAGGCTAGTATTTTAGCATTTAATGATAGTTTGGAATATAATAACAATAATAATAATGATAATAATAGTCACATCCAAATTATTATATTAAACGGTACTAAATATATTAATGTGGCCTGCATACTCAAGCAAACAAAGATTTTTTTTTTTTAAACTATAAAAGGAGCTTTACTTATCCTTCTTTGAATTAATATATAACTGGTTTGGGAGAATTATAAGTTGAGATACTTACATGTATGCAATGGTTTATATTTTGAGAAATGTATCTTGTTATTTTACATAAAGGTAAAGATTAAACCCAACATTTCAATAATGTTTGATGTTTTTTTAAATAGGCTTTAAGCTCTCGCTCTAGTAAATTAAATAGTTGATGAGAATAATTTCATGTGTATCATAAGGTAATCCAGTACCTTTTCTAATGTACATTCCAGTTTTAGCTATATAATGTGCAGTTTATATTTGTAGTATTGAGAGTGATATGTATTAACCATGTTTCTACTTCACATGTGAGTAGTGTGTTAGTTATCAAAGATGCTGCAAATATTTTAGTAATGCATGTACTTGTTTAGATAGTTTCATTGAGAAGTAAGGTTCAATTGCTCATTCAGATCAAGTTTTACGGTATTAGTATATTAAGACGTATTCCTAAGATTTCTGGATAGTTAATGAATTACGTCAGAGAAAACGTGTACTGTCATATTGTAAATGCATTGAATTGCATCATGAGGAGATGGTGTGATAAAATTGTTTATTCACTACACTTTTAATCTAAAGCTTCAGGATTTGAATCCTAGCCCGACACTACCGTCCTTTCGCTAGACATTCTTCAACATTTGACACCTTTCACCCAGATGTATATGTAAATGGTTACTTGATATGCTCGAGTGCGACATGTTTGTCTGCTTGGCTATGACGAGGGTAGTAGTATTAGAGCACCGTGAGTGTTACAGTGTCACCACCATTATCAAATGCATTTATATTCACCAATCTACACCCGTATAGTTTGCTAGTAAAGAATTGACTATATCCTCTGATTCATCCCCTATGCTTTCTAAGTCTAGGACGTACATCAATGCACTCTGGAAAAAAGGTTATTGAGCATTCAGGATTTGTTTATCTGTTTTTTACTTTGGAAGAAAAAGAATAGAAACGGTTGCTATATCTGGGTAACTAATACAAATTAATATGTGTTTTACTAAAAACAATTTAATCATGTGACATGTATTATTTTACAATGCTGTTCATGAATCAAACTTTTAATTGCAACTGTTTCTCTTTCATGAATGTTTAAATTTCGATTGAGAAGTTGTAGACTACGAATAAATACTATATTTCTAACCCAGTTAAAAGTGCATAGTTTTGTCATTTGATTTTTTTAGCTGTTAGTATACCTTTTAATATCCTATATTTCTTCTCTCTGAATATATATTCCTCTTCCTCCCTATTTTACCATTCCTGTCGACTTATCAATTTATTTTTATATCAAGTATCCATGTATTTAAAAACAAGACTTCCTAAGCAAATGACAGCTTTTTTGCTGAAATAATTTGTTATGAAAGCAACAATTTTGATTTGTGTCGCTTGTGATTTTAATGGGTTTGCGGTATGAAATTTTTCACAAATCTTAACCACTTGACAATTTCTGGTGTGACACAGCACAGGATGTTTATCACACACAATTTGGTCCCCCCCCCCCCCCCAACTATATTTGTGAGTCCTAATTTATGTACTGGCATGTTACAAGTACTCTCTTTACTTCCACTCTCTACGTTTCTCCACTCCCTCTTCTCTCTATTCTCCATTGTGAACGATTCTTATTATAGCACAATTACCCTGACTTTCACGTTCTGAGAATAACTTAAGGTTTCTGGAACCCTGACATAATGTTCGATCCATCAAAAGTATCATGAAACATGGGATTGCATATCTGTATTATTAATTATACAAATATAGACATCTTCACTGGCTGCAAATCAAAACATCATCTCAAGAATAACAATACCAAAAAAGACAAATGGAAGGTAATCTGAATTTGAAACATAGACGAAGAACATTGAATTTGTAAGACATGGTAGAGTGGGATCGCCATGAGCGCACACCATATAGGTGGACAGCGGCAGTGTACAAGAAGCCATCATCATCATCATTATCATCATAAATAATAATAATAATAATAATAATAACGTTTTATTTACCCAGGGTAGCCACTTCAGTTATAAAACTGTTCTCCCAGCGGGTCTGTTTTTAGTGAACTATACTTACAAATCATATGCTTTGTTAAAAGAATAATTTTGCTACCATTACGATTGTACATACTCTCATCATTCTAATCACATGTAAAAAATAATTGAACGACTTCCATCACTATCACTGACATTTTGTTTTCAACATGCACGCACGTTAGGATGTTGTTTTAATTCTGTAATATCTCAGTATGTATGTGCATCCTTTGTATGTTTTTCTTATTAGATGATCATGTAATTGCCGTTATAATATGTGCAGTAGAATGGTCATCATCCATGATATATTCCAAAATTAAAATTTCCTTCAAGTTATGTATATGTTTGTTGTCATTTTACTCTACTCTGTTTAGTTTTACTTGCATCAATATTGTAAAGCGCTTTGATATAAATCCCATATGAAAAGGGCTATATAAGTAAAAGTTATTATTATTATTTTGAAGTAAAAATTTATATTTTCTGGTACAACAATTCATTTTAAAATCAAACTGCCTTCAAGCTATGTAATTATAATATGTACGGTGTCATGTTAAAAGAAGAAAAAAAATCCACTTTCTGGTGCTTTCATCTCCCTTGGTTTTTGTAACTCCAGAGCAGCGTTTTTTAACCTGGGAAAGAGGAAATTTAGTTAAATCAAATTTTGTTTGGAATAACGTCTAGGCCTAGCTAGTTCGGCGTGAAAAAAGAACATCCGAAACTGCTAGTGTATATTTGTAATTTCGTGAGGAAATCGCATTTTAATGATAAAAATTCCCTTTTTCCTCACGCGCGGGCAATATTTTGACAGCCAGGTGCCCCAATTTCATTTCATTTATTTAGAAATTACTAAATAGCCCTCGTGTAACATTTAGAAACAGGATAAAATCTGAGCAACGAGATGCCCGAAAAATCTCAAATTCGTGTAGCGATGTCATGTGCCGTGTGTATATGGAACTTGATGATTGCCAGAGTGATGCAAACAGGATACTCTGTGATGAATTTAGGATCTGGGCAACGCGAAACTTTTTATTTCTCAAAAGGGTGCTGTGACATAGTAAAGGTTGAAAAACGCTGGTCCACAGAAATGTATTTCCATTTTCGATTTTTCCGATTTTTGCCTATTTGTTTGACAACCTAAATGCGTCGCGTCCCTCTCACTAACCAGCAACAAAATTACTTTTTTCGTGTTTGTTTTTTTCGTGAATGTGTATAGCAATATATTTGACTGCCCCGCCCCCCCCCCCCGGGCCCCCAAAAAACAATATATATAATCATACACATAAATAAATACAAATTTGCTAGTCAAGGTTATAGACATGTGGAAGGAAAATCGAGGAAGGATTATTTTACAGAGATAATTAAAAGTTCCTTATTACGTGGGTTGCAGGCCCTTTTTCAGCAATTTTTTTAAATACATCCATAGATCCATTGTAGATATAACTTCTCCATGTATGACTGCATTTAATTAATATGCGACTCAGAATAACATATTCTTGGTACATTTTCTTGTTCAACATTTATTTAACTTTTTTGTTCTCAGCATCGTATGTTTATGGCTTTATTCATACTGTATGTATAGTTGTATACCGATTGGAAACAAATGTCTGTATTATTATGGAGTATGGACAATAAAACTTGAATCTTCAATATAATTAAAGTGCGTTGACCCCAAATCGACGGTAGTTGATAAACATCGAGACCACTAGTCTAGAGCTTGAACAGTAAGTTTACTGGACTATACATTTATTTTCTCTTATTTATAGTTTGCCGTGGGATATAGTCTAACATGAATGAGACTGTTGAATTCGACAATATTTTGGAACGATGCAAAGCTTCGGCATTATGAGTAGAATTCTAGATATAAAGACATCTCGAAAGGTCGCTGTAGATCTAGTCCCATTCACTAATCTTTGTGTTGGACTTATCATTCATACATATATACATGTGGCCAGTGAGCAATAGGAGCATCACTATCCTGGCTGTGTAGTAAAATCTGTGCTTTTGATCCTCAACATTTCGAACACCACTGTATTAAAACTCAACTGATTTCACTCAAAATCGGTACTTTAGGGACAATTGATGACACCTAAATAGCAGTAAAATACATTTTTTTCAACTTAGGTCTAGACCCTAACTTTAGATCTAACTTTAGGCCATGTAAAATTGATTTCATGTTGATCGTCCCCGCCCGCTTCCTTTTTGGGGGCCGCCTCCTATTTTTTGTTATTTGTTATTTTTTTTTATTTTTTTTTTATTTTTTTTTTTTTTTATTTTTTTTTTTTGAAAGAAAAAAAACATGAAAAACACTGCTAAAATGGCTCTATTTCTGATTTAAAAAAAAAAAAAATTGTCGGCGGCCATCTTGAAAAAAAATAGCCTCGACTGTCGGGGAAAATGTACCGAGCGGCCATTTTGAGCGGCCATTTTGAAATATCAAATATCAAATAACATGGTACACCCTCCTCCTCTTTTTCAAAAAATCCGGACGATCAACATGTAATCAATTTTACATGGCCTTAGTTTTAGACCTAGATTTAGAGTCTACTGATGTTAAAAAGAATAGGCCTAATTTAAAAATTTGTGTAGACTATTACTAGACCTATAGCCAGGCAACACCTGCCTCACAGCAAGTATGCAGTGCTAGAGGTCAATACGCATTAGCATCGACTCTCTTAGACCAAAAGTTTCAGTCTCTCTATATCGTCAGTTGTTCCACTGAGACAATGTCTGGCTCCACTAGACCTCCGATTATAGAGATTGAAGATTTTCCTATGGGGACTGTACGGAACCATGGTTCGGTTCGGCAGGACCGCGATGAATGAGAAATGCAACAAGACTTTCACTCTTTACATACTCATAACTGCTGCAATATTACAATAATTATAATAAAAATAAAAAAATTACATAGACCTAGGCCTATATATATAGCTTATTTGACATACGATAGCTTGCTCATTTAGATCCTAAATTAATGATTAATCCGAGAAAATCTTGTCGTCAACCTTATCCATCTTTGTTTTAGTTGATGAATATTCATTTTTTCTTTTCGAACGTCCAATAGCTACCGTAGCTATGTACGAGTCAGCCCGGCTTGACCAACGAACTCCCACGAAACGAGTGCTCTGATTGGCCATTGGCTATGTTTTGGTAGGTTGACCCGGAAATATGTCGCCCGCCGGGTCATAGTTCCAATGCATGAACGTACTGCTTCGCGGTTCTGAGATAAAATTTGATAACTCATAATAAGTAAGTCCGTAAATTTCACATTCTATAATAGGTTAGCAAAATTTTGAAAACTGTAATTAGGAGATATATATACCGACCTAATTTACATCTGATTTAGAAATCAGAAAATTAGATCTAAATAAAGAAAATCTGGGAGAAAATGTTGTGAACGAAAAGATGTTCATCGCTGGCTCTAGCTACCCCCACGGTACGAGATCTCTGTAGTACCGTCTGTATATGGGGAATGTCAACCAATGTCAGTTTTATTAAAGAAATGACCCATATCAGATGGTTATTTCCGTCTACGACTCTCTATGCTTTGCTGGAGTGGGTAAGTAGATCTGCCAAGACAATTCCAAGCTTATCTACCCATCTTTTTTGAAGCTAAGATGAGCTTGAGCCTTACTATAGAGTTTGAAATACCAGATCAATGAGGTTTATGTACAAGTATTTAAATTAATGACCTGCGGCTGTGGCACTTGCCCAAATTCCATAATTGAATAGGGCCTAGGCATGTTGAATGTTCATCATCACGTTCACTTCATGATAACTGAGACATAAGTTCATGTAAAAAAAAAAATCTATAGTATAATCAAATTGTTAACTTATTCATGACAAAATGTTGTTGTTATTGAATACTATTGTTTTGTATGGTTCTGTTAGATATTGAAAACTAACTGATGACTAATGGAAAGAGGAACTTTCCCTACAATTTTCTTGGGAGTGTTAATTTATGAAAATATTGACAAAAGATCAGCAAATTTTGCAGTCTTTTGCATTCGTTCCAGAAAAAGTATGAATTTAGAATGTTAGCGACAAGGGTTTAGAAATCAGAGCTTGAGAGATTATTTCATCAAAATTGTAAGTGAAAAACAATACCAACTGATGGAATTTTGTTTTTACTTGCAATTTATGCAATTATCTCACCTTTAATTGATCAGTTTTTGGAATAAGTTACCTAAAATCTCTCCCATGTGTGAATTAAGGACTCATTGTTTTTATTACTGCATTTGGTATGAATTGATCCAAATAAATTTACATGGACTATAAAAAATCATGGATTAAAATCATCAAATATCACATTCCTAATTATTTTTTTTAATGTCGGCTCACTTTGGACACCCATCATATTAGACCATGTAGAGTGTATAGTGTAAAATGTTTACGGTACTTTTTTTAATTTTTATTTAAACTTGCTGAGATTGATGCCCTTGGCCAAGACTTCTTTACACAATACTAAAAGAAGTTAGAACAAGTTTTTCCTTTATATTTGTTATATTGATATTAAAGAACCTGTTACAAGAAAGTTTACTGATTTTTCTCCCTTAGCTTACAGTGTCTTAATTGCAGGTATACAGATGACTTAATTATTCAAGATGGGCGAAATAATAGAAGTCCAACATATATTACAGCAGGAGGAGTGGGACTGTGGCTTGGCCTGTGCCAGGATGATTTTCAGGTTTGTAGTGAAACTGAAAGAGTAAACAATCACTGCATTTACTGCCAAAGTGAACAGAGAGAAGTAATTGAATGATCATCAAAACATATTCATACTTTTGAAAGTGTTCAATGCTATTTGCAAACTTTATGCAAAGATTGATGCATTTGTCAATTGAATAAATTCCTTTCTAGCACTGTTTTGAAGGAGTGCTCTGAAAACAGCCCAGTAGATAATGTACAGGTTTATCCTAAAGATTGTAGGTAGGGGCTGTTATGTTTTCAATACAATTTTCTTGTGCATACCATAAATGAAGGAAGGTAATTGTCCTTGAAAGAAATGTGCAAGACCTTCCTTAAAGGAGATGTAAATGATGTTCATATTTGATTGAAGGAAGTTTTTAATTAGGTACTAATTTTATATTTTTTATTGTGGTATATAGTGTCTAGGAAAGGTGTATCCAGTTTGTTCTTTCTGTTTCCTATCTACGTAATGTTGTTGTTCCATTTCCTCCCATAGATACTGCAACATTTCTTTGGGTGAAGGTGACACAGAGTTGACGAGAGTCTGCAAAGATTTAGAAATACAGAAAGCGTGAGTCACACAACGTTTTTCCTGTTCATAGAATGAATGTTGGACCATTTTAATTTTGTTTTATTACACATCATGAACACATTGAGTGACAGTTTGTAAATGCCCAAGTCTTTATATTTGTATTTTGTAAGTAATGAATATACTTACAGTACATGTGCTCATCTTCTTTGAGAGAATTTCAGCTAGTCAACCTTATACAGGAATAACCATAATGATGTTTAAATCCTTTACCATTGGCATTAATTTTCATCAATTCAATTAATCTATTTATCTATTAATCTAAAACTATTTGGGGAAAGTCTTTAGCTAAATAGACCAGCAATAAAATATACTGAATTACCTTCCACAACCACAATTATATTATAAGAGTAAGAATTTTTTAAAGCATACATTGTATGCAATTATGCATATTCATGTAATATTTTATATTGTATTAATTGAAACATTAAAACATAAAACTGTAATTTTCCTTCTTTTTGTAATGCAGCGTGTGGACAATAGATTTGGCTCATCTCATGTCAAAGTTCAACATCAAACATGATTTCTACACGATCACATTTGGGGTAGATCCAAAATATTCGACAGTGGTGAGTTAAATCTATGTTGAATCAAATCAAAATTTTCCCTGTCACACGTGGCTAACCAATTCCATATCATAGGCAGCAAACCCTGCCTAAGAATATTAATGCATGTATTATTACCAACTAGTTATTTTCTCACTGTAATATAAGTAGCTATCTTTTCTCTATTTTGGAGCTGTTTTTCCTTAATGAAATAAAATATATGTACAATTAGCAGTTGTTTATTCGCTAAGTAAACAATAAAACAAAGCTTTGGAACCTCAATTTTATCCCATGGAAGTTTGTTATTGGTAAACCATAAATCTATTGGTATGAAACGGGTGTATAAAGCCGTCAATGCAACAAAGATTTAATATTAATACCCGTTTCTTATAAAACACTTCATTATTAACTGGCCAAAGCACTTACAGTATTATTATTCCCTCTGTCACTGGATTTAATTACTATTCTGCACGTAACAAGGCATATTCTTCACTCCCTGGGAGACATCAAAAATTACTTGTAAGTCCATTTGAAAGTTTGTTGTATTACATATGTAATTATTCATAAATCTGTTGAATCAGAACAGATGCATGAAGCCATATTTAAAAATGTAACAAACTTGGCTCTAACTTTTCTACCAATGCCTTACTGGCCTTGCTCACTAAAAAATCCTTATAAGGTATTGGTTCTCCAAGAATTTACTTACACAAAGTGAATTTTTGAATTCCAACCTTGGTCCAAACCTAATCCTTACCCTATCCCTAAACTCAATTGAATCTTATACCAGTGATGAGATAAAGCCCGGAACACCATTTGGTCAATGGGATGTCAGATCGATTACGGAACTAGATGTATAAAGCGTCCCATTGCTCCAGTGTGTGAAAAGTCAACTCTGATGAATTGTAGGACTTTTTGGACATAAAAATGTAGATGCCCCTCCCCCCACACGCACACACACAGAAAGAAAGAAATATAGGGATGCCTATATTGATATTTATATGGGGCGTGTCACCACGAAATGAGTCCAGTTGGTCAAACATTTTATTATATGAATCTACATTAAGTAAGCTTTAAATTAAGGGGTCACACATTAAAATTGATAAATTATATCCAGAAATATGAACCAAAACCTAATTGGACTTTATAACAATGGGATCACCCAGTTTTGAGATAATTAGGTGTAAAGTTAATGATGCGTAACATATTATAGTCTGGTCAACAACAACATAGCAACAACACACTTCCCATCATTTGATTTCAATGAAACTTTCAACAAACAAAGAAATAATAAGTTGATTTTTGGAAAAATCTTAAATGTGGTAGGTGGGTCAATTTTCAGTACATACACACTATACATCGCTATTACTACGATTGAGCCTAATGCGACACTGGACTCATTTCGTGGTGACTGGCCTCATATATGGCATTTAGGCTTTGATAAAATTACATGATTTTTTTTTCCTCTTTGATCATTTTGCAGGAATTTTACAACAGTAATACGTTTGAATTTTCTGGAGAAGAGTTCAGGATTAATAATCTGTTTCAGGAAGCAAAGGACAAAGGTATCATTGCATCTAAGAAGTAAGTTTCACTACCTTTGTCTCCTATATATGTGTCATAGAAATATATATAACATGTACCTTTTTTATTTACTGGTACTCGTTCGTTCGTTCATGTCTCCTTAGATCAAGATAGTAATGTAAAGTTCCTTAATTTAAAAGTAAATTAAATTAAATTAAGTTCTTCCATCGCCCGATTGCTGCAATGGCCGTTTCATTAACAAGGGCCAGGTCTGATACTGATTATAAATTATTATTATTATTATTTGAAAGAGTTAGAATCCTTCTTTTTTTTTTTTCTTTTTTTTGGACTTGTGGGTATACCTTTTTACCATCAGTACCCCTAGTGAAAAAGAAATATCGCTCATAGGATTTGTAGAGTGTACAGTGTACTTGAGCCCACAGAGTGTCAAAAGATCTCATTATTATCATGATCTCAAAATTAGGTATATTTTTAGTTAATTTTGTTTCCCCACCAAAGGCTGCATATCCAATGATTTCTTCTGCTTAGATCACTTGTCCGAGATGAAATCGTAAGCCGACTCAGAGAGGGCCAACCAGCTATAGTCCTCATTGATGCCAGCATTCTTCATTGCCAGATGTGTGAAGGCACCAGGGTGGGTAGAGAAAAGCCTGTTTGCAGCTGATCAACCTCCTGGTTTTGACTAATTCAATGGTCAAAACTGACCCTTTACAGTTTCATTGAAATAGTCCCTGGTTGCAGCCATGCACTACCCTGTCGATTCCGACGGGCAACTCAAAAATCTAATGACGGGTCAACAGTTGGTGCAATAGTATTTGAAATTCAATGATCATCCCAGAAATGTCACAGAAGAGTGGATTTGAAGAAAAGAATCAGTAATCATGATCAAACTACAAAGACCTGCCGTATATTGGAACATGGCTGCAAATAAAAATAATACTAATATTCTGTTTTTGTACTGCGCTTAAAGGTAAAGACCAGTATTGGAAACGCCCAAATTTAAAAAAATGAAATGGAAGCTCTTATTACCAATCATGTGAAAGAATATGTTTTGACTAATACATGATGATAACAATTTTGCCGGGAAACCGCCTACTAATTGATATATTTGGTAAATTAGTTTATCTATTGGACTGTGAGAGATAAACGCACGTGTCACGCACATGTGCGTTGTCCCATATACATATTTCTGTGTACAGTGCTTGTAACTTTACGAAGACTGGGCCAAATTTCTTATCGTTTTGATGATTCCAGAACCTTGCAGTACACACCAATACTTATATGCTAGATGATCAACCTTTTCTGATCGATTCCACGTTTCTTTCACAATGCAATCACATGACCATAACTGGTCTTTATCTTTAATACATCAATGATGTCTCTAAGTGCTTTACAGATATATATTATTACCCCGGTCATCGGATTCAGGCTTGCCCGCACACAATGTATACATAGAGCAATGTCTGTTAGGTTGGTAGAAATCATTCACACTCCTCTAAATGCTAAATATATATTGTGCACTCTAAAGTTATGATATGCATCTTTTGTATTTTCTGGTTAATATAGCAGCAACAATATCTTCAATTGGGGTGCTGCCACAAAGACAGGGAGGAGGAGGAAAGAGGATATATAGGTAAATGAATGTGACAATATACTAAGCCTGCATTTCATTTGTAGTGATGTATTATAACCCTTGTAATAGTTTGCCATAATGAACTTTTGTACAATGTAGAGTTCCTTTTCATGCCCTGATATTAAAGAATCTGGTAACTAGACATACACATTTCAGTCTGAATCATATATTTTCAGTGAAGGGTCCAAACCTTAATTTGCACTTTGAATGATACCATGAACAGGCTTCATAAATGACTTTTGTGATGTTTTGCGGTCAGAAATTCCCAATTGCCATGTGTTTCATTGTAAAGAAAAATGTCACAATTTCATGTGATGAACCGCTTGTTATCTGACTTGTGTACATGTAGACATGTAACTCTTACACCTGAATCAGTAGGTACCTAAAAACATATGATAAATTTCTTCATTTATGTGATATGTTCAATATTGGCAATTATACTGTACCTAAACGAAGAGGTTAACAAATTGATGTAAACATGTACTTACTATCATATGGCAAAGGTATAGTCTTTACATTACTTATGATGAAAGTTATACTTTTTCTTCTGGCTTTCCCAACAGGCCATTTTATAGTTGCTTGTGGCTGCAATCTGGAGAAGGGGCAAATTTTCTACAAAAACCCAGCAAGGCCTGTTGGTGAGTAGTCCAGGGGGGTGTTTCACAAAGATCCTAAGTTGAACTTATCTCTAAGTTGGACTTAACAGTTATGGAAAGCTGTTAGCATCCTTGAAAATATTTTGTAAAATTTATTTTGAAATGCATAAAATGTTGATTCAAATCATTTATATTTTCTATTAACATGGGAGATTTTATGTTCTTGATGTGGAATTCATGAAAAGTCTAAAATACTTGAATTTTCGCTTTTGAATGTATTTCATATTAAGGCTACAAATGGCTCTCCATGATATTCAAGTCCAACTAAGAGTTAAGTTTGACTTAGAATCTTTGTGAAACACCCCCCCCCCCCCCCCCCTGTATATACAAGTACACCAGTTACACAGACCCTGCCTGTAGGGAGAGCGGCAAGGGAATGCATGTGGATCAACATCTGTCATTTCCCTTGTCTAGGCACAAAGCCGACGGAACCCGTATTATGATATCCGATACATGCTTGTCCGAACAAGTTCCATGTAGGTCCCAGATAGTTGGAAGCCGATCATCATTTGGTAGAATGGAGTCTTCTGACAGTATTTATCTGTTTTCATGGTTTTGCCACAATATTTCATTTTATTTTATTTATTTATTTTGCCCAAGGACAATGGATTGTATCGACTCACCTGGTCTTTTTTTAATCCAAGTGATATGTTATTGTTTTTGTGGCCCAAACGTACGGAGCAATGTGTGCAACACTTTGTAACTGCAAGGAAAAAGTAATATATCAAATACCTTTTGGATTGGATTGGATATTGCTTATCTACTTACATAATAAAGTAGTATTGAAATGATTTTGTTATAACTTGGTTCACTGAATAACGTATTTGTGTTGAAGAGGAAATCAGATGTTAAATGAAACTGTTTAAAAACATTTGCATGCAAAGTGGATACTTAAGTCCATGTTTATAGCCTATACTGACATGACGCTTGTGCAGATTTTTATATTTTTACTGTGTGAGATACATCGATACAGGTGTAAACACAATTACAGTAGGAAATAGTTATCCATTGGTAGTTGTTTAATGCTTGCCCTTCATAGCTTTTGTTTGATTTTCTTTTGCGTGTATACAATGGCCTACAAATCTGCATTTTCCACATAACCACAGTTGTATACCAGTAGTACCTGTACTTTTTAATTTTCTCTTTGTATCGTCTAATTTTGATTTCAATCTCTTTTTTAACCTCATGACTGCTTATCATCTCGTAGATCTGTGCTGTTGCTCATTTGAGAACTTTGATGCTGCAAGGAAGTCACATGGTACAGACGAGGATATCCTTTTCATCCATAGATGACCTCTTGAGATGAGCTCAGTATATCATCATTGAACTTTGAACTTTGAACTTTCGAATTCTTGAGGAATCTTGCCACCTTCTGCCTAGAAAGAGAACCCAAGTGTGTGCTAAGGCTATGTATATTTCTGTGCAATACCAGGAAAACATCTTCTGACTGTGACACCTCTTTATAACCAATTTTGTATAGCCAAGGAAATTACCTAGGTAAAAATTATGAAACTTTGTTATGTCAGGGCCCCGTCTTTTAAGGACTTGCGATTGATTCAAATCATTTGCAACTTGAAATTAATCACAGCTGTGTACTTAAAGGCATCGTTAAACAATGTTAAATCTGAGATGCATGGCCCTACATTTTATCAGTGTCTATGATATGGTGTAATATTGAAGCTCTAAAAAAAAATTTGCTCCAAAATGATCAAGAAGTGCCTCAAAAAATAAAAATCTTTGAGTGACGGGTTTCACCATAGGTACTCATTTTCCCCATTGTTATGAAAAATGGTGGTCTCCTGTGTTCCGAATTACCTCTCTAATTTATTGAAAATATTTCATATTTCTTATGTTATTGTATGCTTTGTACATGTTTATCGAATGATATAATTGTACATGATTTTTCATTTAATTACTTTTGTAAACATTGTATTCATTGTATTTGTTATTGTTCGAAATTTTGTACTTTGACTTTGAATTTGTATATTTTTTAACGCAGAAATAAAATCAATCAAACAAACAAACAAACAAAACCGTTAGGAAAACAGAAAATTTGATTTCGATTTCCAATCATAAATATCTTGTTAATTAGACAGGCAATTGGCTTGTAAAAGTCATGGGGTTCCTGACTGACCTAAAGGTTTATAACTGTCATTGCAGCATAAGCTAAATCCAGGATTTTGTTTCAGAATCTGCGACAAAGTTACAGGATCAGGTTGCGATTGATTTGAATCAATCGCGACTCTTTATAATACAGGGCTTAGGGCTCAAAATAGAATAAAAATACAAAGATTTGGGACCAAGCAAAATAACCTTCTTGTAATAAGAGTTTGTTATATTATCATTTTCTAATGTAATGAGACGTAATGCTTGTAACAAGTGATACCCCAATCATGAATTCTGTTCCAATAGACTTGTTTACTAATTTTATGCATACTTTTTTAAACAATAGTTTATATTGTTGACTGTAAATCTTGCAACTGGCTTGCCAAAAATTTGAAAAGCTAGTGTATGCAAAATGAATTCCATTCGTGGAGATGCCATTTTGCATAGCAGGTGAATCAAATAGTTAGTCACCAAGGGTTCGGGAGAGACACAAGCTTGAATTGAAATTTATTAATAAACGGGTATATTAAAGCTTATCAGTACTAGTGTAAAGGAGAGATTAGACCAGCCTGCAAGGTCACTGGACAGGTGGTTATCTCATCAACTCAGCTCTCAAATAACATAAGAAAAAGAGGATCATGGGGGACCAATGGTCACCGATTAGGCATTGTTTGTTATATAGAGGGCGCAAGTAGCTACAAGTAGTGCAGTGGGCCTTTAAAGCATTCTTAAAGGCACCACTAGTAATGATTTTTCTAAGTACTGGTAACCGTGGGTAAGGTAGTTATTATGGTAACTATGGGTAAGGTAGTTGTTATTTCAAGTCTTTCACTAATTTTATTTTCTTGTGGATACTTCATCTCAGCAGTGCAAGGTGAAAAGGATTACTTTATGCTAATGCTATGATATTGCATTTGCAGAGGGTAATCGGACATCTCCTGCGGCAACCATTTCTCTGGGCTTTAATCCATCAAGGATGTAGAGTGAGGGTTGCCATAGGATTTTATGTTAGGTATAGGGTTAGGGTTAGGGTTAGGTATAGTTTTTGATCCAGGATTGAGGTCAGAAATATGGTTTAATAGCGTTCGAGTTTGGACACAGCACTGTAACCACACATAACTTGTTATGACTAACTTGTATCCAGTATTGAACATGTAGAGGTACCTTTACTTTCTTTTTTTCCTTCTTTTTTTCCTTCTTTTTTTTCTTTTAAAATATTTTTAGCACTATTCACCATTGTGGACATGTTTGATGATTCCAAGATCTCCATAATTAACCTAGCTTGACTTCTGAACGATTTCTTTTACAATGCAATATCACAACAAGATCTCAACATAATTGTGAAATTGAAATTCACACATTCTTATTTTGTAAATTCTGTGAACATTTATGGTAGTGAATATAGTATAGTATATGAATAAAATTGTATAATCTAATACTTATGTCAATGTACGAGTCATTTATGCAGCAATTGATCAAGATTAAGAACTACCAAATATTTTCCAACATGCCATTAAGCGGGGTTATATACCTGTGATACCAGTAACCAAAAATATAGTATTTAATCTACACATAGATTAAATTTAAGTGAACCAATTTCTAAAAAATTAATATTTATTAATAGAGAAGTATTTGATATCATAAGAATGCAATGAGATGCTAGATAGAACAGGCCATTTCTATCATCTCATCACTCCTCTTCTTACCGATGAGAAATATGACATTCTAATATGATTTTGGTATTTGTCTTTATAAGATATTGATAGGTCCTGCAAATCTCAGTAATTCAATTTGCTTTCCCCCTCCCAGGCACAGGTGACGCTAAATAACTTAATAATAATAGTATTGAAATAACTTTTATTGTTTAAGTGAAATTGAAATGATAATATTTAAGCCCACCCCCCCCCCCCCCTTTTTTTGGTGAAGACCAATTGATATACATATGTACTTCCAAAGAGTACAATACACCAGTGTTGAGAGTTGACACAAATTGTTTATTACTCTACTCATTATAACAGGTACCTGTCGGATGCTCTGGGAGGAGTTGATTGATTGATTGATTGATTCAAATGTATTCCATTTCATATCAATTGTTTCCACAATAAAGAACATAGTTGACAAAGTTGGTTCAAAATTTTGAAATCAAACAGGAACCTACTGGAAAGCATAGCTTTTTGTGGTAGGTTCCCATGCATGAATAAATATGATAGGAACATTAGTTTATAAATCATTTAAAATTGAGTTCAGGGAGAATATTTTATAGATTAACATCCAATATATGATGTGGGTGTATGCGAGTGAGTGTGAGTGTGTATAGAAATGTGTTACACGTAAAGTAAAATGTGTGAGTAAAACGGTTCCTTAAACAATGTGTGTGGTTATCAAAATTGGAATATATATTAAAAGAAATAATAAGACATGACGCCCCTCCCTCTCCTCCTCCCTGCCAGGCGCGTAGCCAGGATTTCATTTTAGGGGGGGCGGTAGTGTAGTGAGCAGCGAAGCGTGCGAATCACTTAAAGAGCGCGCGAAGCGCGCTCCCTAGCGGGGTGGGTGCAGGGAGGGGGAGTTTCCCCCCTCCCGCGCGAAGCGCGGAAGCTTTGAAAGAAGACGATTCGTTGTACCTTCCTCGACTCATAATCCTTGTCTGAATTCAGTCCCTCCCCTCTCTCGCGCGAAGCTTTGACGTTTCATTAAATTATTAGAGAAAAAAGACGATTCGTTGTACCTCTCTCGACTCTTTATCCTTATCTGTATTCAGTCCCTCCCCTCTCTCACGCGAAGCTTTGACGTTTCATTAAATTATTAGAAAAAGAAGACGATTCGTTGTACCTTTCTCGACTCTTAATCCTTGTCTGAATTCTGTTCCTCCCCCCCCCCCCCTCTCGCGCGAAGCTTTGACGTTTCATTAAATTATTAGAGAAAGAAGACGATTCGTTGTACCTTTCCCGACTCATATTTCTTAATTTGAACTCAGTTTCCCCTTCCCGCGCGAAGCGCGGAAGCTTTGACGATTCATTGTACCATTCTCGACTTTTCCCTTTTTCTTCCTACGTCCTCTTTTTTTTTTTCTCTTTCTCTCTCTCTTTTTTTTGGCCGGCGTTTTGGGGGGGGGCGACCGCCCCCACCGCCCCCCCCCCCCCCCTGGCTACGCGCCTGCTCCCTGCCACTTCATCGTGCAGCTATATTTGATTCGTATCTGATCAGGGGACGTAATTTTGTATCGATTGTATCGCCATTTGGCGAGTATATACCCTTTACTTCAAACGAAGGAAGTTAAATTAAGAGGAAGAAGAAAAGGGGCTAGGAACCTATAACTAGGCCGTACGTATCCCTCTAATTCTCGGATCAGGCAATATGTTACTACAATGTTCGTGTGTGCTTTGTTCAGTGAGTGGCTATTCTCTGTATTAAGACTCTCTGATATCTGTACGACGATATTGTGTGCGTGCTATACCGGTACCGTACCCTGCCCGGTTTTCCGCCCGATGGGCAGTTTTTCTCAGATAACTTCTCTGAAAATGAATTATACAGGCGCTAAAGTATACCAATTTGTTGCCGAAATTCTAGCAAATCTAGCTATGCCATTCTTACGCCCGAAATCATAAGCGATTGTCCGTAGCGCGCCGTCTGCGTGAGGCATTTTCCTTGCCTAATTCCGCCTAGACCCGCCCTAATTCCGCCCGATGGTGGGCGCGCATCAAAAGTATAGAAAAAGGAAACATCTCGGGTACACGTTAGGCCAAATCAAATTGCTTCCCAGTAGAATTCGATCTACATGTTATTTTGATAATTGATATTTCTTTCTTTATTTCTTCCCTTGCCTCTGTAGGCCTAATGCAAGTGCACTGTTATTTATCAGTTTCTGATCTGGAAAAACAATTTTTTACTGCCTTTGGAAAATCCTGCGACTTGTCTATGATGTTTTAATAATGTGTTCAGTCAAATCTTCAGTGTTCTATCGCTAACCGGGAGAGGGGAAGAAAAAAAAAATCCACAATAACAACATTTTGTCCAAAAAAAACTACCACTATTAAAGTAAACACTTTGGAAAGAGAGTAATGGCACTTCATTTTTTTAATTTTTTTTTTAAACTGCAAATTATTCTCGACATCTCTCAAATCTTGATTAAAAAATAAATTAGCGTATATTTTTAGGATATTGGTTGGAAAAGCATAGCATTTTCGTCATAGGAATTATCATCATCGCCGACATCGTCTTAATCATCATCATTACAATTTTAGGGTAGGCCTATGTGACGCAAATGTGGTTTCCTGTTTGATTATTTGTTCAAGACTTCAAGTTGTTGTGTTTTTTGTTTTCTAGTTGTTCTAAATTATGCAGTATTTTATGCATTCAATAATAATAGTTCAACTTGAAAGATAAAACTTTCCGAAATGATCTTGAAAACGAAGTCGTCGATTCACTTCCATGTGGGGGGGGGGGGGGGGGGGGGGGGGGGGGGGGTATTGAGCACATTTTTTTTTTTTTGATCCTCAAAAAAAATTTCAATTTGCACCCCCCCCCCCCTTGAGCGCCAGGGGGGGGGGGGGGCCAACCCAAAAAAAGGTAAAAATCACGTGATTTTACATGATTTTTTTCTCAAGGGGGGGGGGGGCCGGGCCCCCCGGGATCCGCCACTGCCCCACCCCCCCCCCCCCACATTTTCTACATAATGCTACATGTTAAATTCATCCATTCATCTATTTATTTATTCAATATTCATTCATTTTATTGCCGAGAGATATTTATG